TATTCTCCCGGGTGGGACTCCCCAGGGAGATTGTCTCCGATCAGGGCACCCAGTTCACCGCCGAAGTCACGCAGCGCCTCTGGAAGTTTTGTGACATTAAGCCGGTCATTAGTTCCCCCTACCACCCCCAGACGAATGGGCTCTGCGAACATTTCAACGGTACATTGAAACAAATGCTCCGAACCTTCGCAGAGACCCACAAGGACTGGGAGAAGTTCCTGCCACACCTCCTCTTTGCTTACCGGGAGGTGCCGCAGGAATCCACTGGGTTCTCCCCATTGGAACTATTGTTTGGCCGCAGGGTACGAGGGCCTTTAGATTTGATCAGAGAGCATTGGGAGGGAGAACGGAGCACTGACGGTACCCCCATCATACCCTATGTGTTGGCATTCCGAGACCGCCTTGAGGCCTTAACTCAGACGGTACGTGAAAATTTGCAGGCGGCTCAGACACGCCAACGCACATGGTATGATCGGGGCGCCAGGGACCGTAGCTTTCAGGTCGGGCAGAAGGTGTTAATCTTAAAACCTGTCCGACACGATAAGCTGCAGGCCGCCTGGCAGGGCCCTTATAAGGTGGTGGAACAACGGTGTGACACCACTTATATAATCTGCTCGTGCGTTGGTACTGGGGGGCGACGCATGCTCCATGTGAACATGATGAAGCCCTACCAGGAGCGCTCGGAGGAAGTGACCGCTATATGTGCGCCTAACTCCGAGGAGTTTGACAGTTTACCTCTCCCGGATCTGCTGGGAGAGGGTCAGTTATCCGGGGACTTAGGGGAGGTCACCCTGGGGAATCGGTTGAGCCCACAGGAGCGGAGCGAGGTACAACAGCTGTTGAGGGAGAAGCAGGATATCTTCTCTAATGTACCTGGTTACACTCCTCTGGCCACTCACCGAGTAGACACCCCAGGGCAACTGCCCATGCGTCAGACCCCGTACCGCATCCCAGAAGCGGTACGGGCGAACATGCGCAAGGAGATAGATGAGATGCTCCAGCTGGGGGTGATTGAGCCCTCTGACAGCCCCTGGGCATCTCCGGTAGTCCTAGTACCAAAGCGGGACGGCACGACCAGGTTTTGTGTAGACTACCGGAGATTAAATGAGAAGACGGTATCGGACGCCTACCCCATGCCCAGGATAGACGAACTCCTGGATCGGATGGCGA